AAATTCCAGTGAAATATATTTATGTTTGTGGTTGTAATGTGACAAAATATGGAAAAGTTCAAGGGGTATGAATACTTTTGCAAACCACTGTAGGCAGTAAGCAGGAAGTGGAAGGGATGTGCGTGGCAAGAATTTTACCGGAAATATGTCATTAATGACAGTGGCATATAGGTAGTTGAAAATGAAATAAAAGTAAACTTCTGGCGGGGGGCGGAGCTAATGTAAACAAAAGGTTGGGAGGGGTTTTCCATTGCAATTTGTGCAAAGCAGCAGGTTCTGAAGAGAGCTAAAGAGCGGGCAGAAATAACATGGTAAAATTTCATTATCTGAGATTAATTTTGTGAATTAAATCAAATGAACATGCTTTGTAGAGTTCAAAGATGGATCCTAACTTGTTCTAGGACCCCCATAATTGGTCACCTTTGACCAGTGAGCCCATGTGAGGGAGGTTCGCCGAAAGCCTGACGGATTAAGGCTGACAGCCTCTTACCGTGGCAGAGATCGGAGGACGAGGGCTATCAGCACCCGAGGCTTTGGTGAGCGGTTAGCTTTAAGTTGGCTGTTGATGGGCAGCCAAGACAGGCCTTGGAGGTGCCGGTCATCGAAGCTTTGCTCACGGAAGTCTGAGTGTGGTCTATGGCGTGCAATTACTGCAGGCTGAACTCGGTATCTTGACGTGGCTCAATCTTGAAAGTTTTCCTTGTGGAATTTAAAGCAAAAAGCTGCTGCAGATGAAAAAAGCTGCTGAGAAGAAGCTGAAAAAACAGCAAGGTGTTTTCAGCACAAAAAGCAGGACACAGCTGGAGACCACCGTGAAGAGTTCCTCCAGCAGGCAAGATGCGAACTAACTTTCAGACAGAGAAGAGCAGAAGCTGAGTGCCGAGCAGAGAGGGAAAACAACAAGATAAGAAAAAATGAAAACATGGGGATGTTTGTGTGCAGGTGTCTGGACATGTCTGGGAACAGCACACGAACTAGCTTATTCCCGTGGACAGAGAACGATGCATAACTCATTAAATTACAGCAGCACATACAGAATCTAAACTACTATGGTTCATTTCAGAGTAAATAAAGCAAAACACATACATGTATTAGTCTAAGCAACTTCTACTGCGTAGGCTACCAGTTTTGTAAAGTTACTGAGTACAAATACTTTGTTACTGTACTTAAGTAGAATTTTTTGGTATCTGTACTTTACTTGAGTAATTATTTTGCAGCCTACATTTTACATCTACTTACATTTTCACACAATTATCTGTATTTTCTACTCTACATTTTTTAAAAGGGCAAGAAGTAAAAAGTTGTTTCTTTTATTTCATTTTTACCTGTTTTCATTCCAGCTTGTTATTGTAAAAAATAAACACTATCCATATAATTTGTGCCTCCTAGATAGAGTGAATTTAGTTGCGGTTGAATGAGAAGTAAAACATATAAAATTCTGATATCGTATTAGTTTGTACACAAACAAATCATGTCACACTCCAGCAGGACATAATCATTAAAATAAAAAGACTGTACTTAAAAAGTATTTGTATTTAATGAATTATATTATTGCATTTGGCTGCAGCCCTCAGATAGATTTTCATTTTGGAGAAAATGTTTGGGCAGCCTTGATATATGTATATAAACTGAAACAACTAAACTAGAGTATCCTAAATTTAAAATAAAAATAATTAGTACGATTTAGTAATTTCTGCATTTTTTGGGGAGGTCACCTCCTAATAAATGTCATTACAGAAAATCTAACTGCTCATTTTAAATCAATACTTTTACTTTTAATACTTAAG